ATACAACTGTCTTATTCACAGCTGGCTCTGCTCTTAAAACATCCTTCAAGTTTTTATTTTAATATGCTCTTTTCTTTCCATTAATTTTATCTTGAGTTTCCGAACGATTCTTTCGGGTCTCTCATTTTTGTCCAGTATTTCTTTTCAAAGATCCTCCTGCCTCAGTTTCCCAAGCAGCTGGGACTACAGGTGTGTACCACCATGCCCAACTCATTTTTAAAAAATTTTTCATAGAGTTCAGATCTCACTATGTTGCCCAGGCTGGTCTTAAACTCCTGGGCTCAAGCAACTCTCCTGCCCGCCTCAGTGCTGGGATCACGGGCATGAGGCATGGTGGGCACCTGGCCTCCCCATGGTCTTCAATGCTCTCTCTCTTCCAGACCCTTACATCCCACCAGAGGCCTCAGCCACAAGCGGCACCTATCTATTCATTTTCAAGCATCCGTGGCTTTGTTCTGGTGTTCTCTATGAACATTCGGTTCTGATTTAGCTTCCTCTGTGAGGTCACTCGAAGCACACCAGAACGCACTGCTCCTCCCTCTTGACTCCAAAACAGCGGGGCAGACATCCCTGTCACACACCCGCTGCAGTTAGGTGAAGCACATGTCCGCCTTCCAAAGAAGTTCTCTGATGACAAGGATTGAACGTTGTCTTGATATTCCCACAGCACTAACGCGTGTCCTTTAGAGAGCAAAGAGACGAATAAATACTTGCTGATGGATTAACAGAGATAAAAGAAAAAGTGAGAGTGATGTTCTGGTTCTAATGATCAGTTTGGGGTCCCTGAAGGGGACAGCATTTCTCAAGTCCCATGGTCGGAGGGACGGTGATGAGCAAAGACCCAGGATGAGCAAGGGAAGCAGCCACAAGGGACACTGGAACTGTGACAAGCTCTTCATAAGAGAGCCTGAGTTCCGAAGAAGGTCCTTCCGTCAGCCACACGTGTTTTCTTCTCTTGTTCCCAAAGGCACTCCCACCTACACACTAACCTAAAGTATGTCTTTCCCCCGATACCTAGGCTTTCCTCAGGAGTCCGGAACTTGCAGTCATCAATTACTTTTCTAATTATAATCTTTCTCCTGACTATAGGCAAATTAAAGTTCAAAGAACAAGATGTGACAGTACAAGTAGCAAAAATATTATTCTCTCCCACTGGCATTTGTATTCATAATCCCTATAATATGGTAGTAAGATCAAAACTTTCAAATACACTAGATATCACAGACAAATTCTGTTTAGAAAATAAGGATGATGACAGAAGGGAGGAGAAAGGGAAGAAATATATGAAATCAGAAATGAGAACAAAACCTTCAAATCTCAAACGTTCACGAGAGAGATGTAACAGTTGGGAGCTGAGGGGTTGCTTCTGGGAGAGTCATGCTCCAGGCTGAGTTTGATCACTTTGTGGTTGCTTTCCATAAGTTTCTTATTTTATGAGCTCAATCAGTAAACTCAGCAGCATTTTTTTGTTTTGTTTTTTGAGCTGGAGTCTCACTCTTGTTGCCCAGGCTGGAGTGCAGTGGCATGCTCATGGACCTGCCCGGCTTAGGCGATCCTTCCACCTCAGGCTTCCAAGTAGCTGGAACTACAGACACAGACAACCACACCCGGCCAGTTTTTGTGATTTATTGTGGAGATAAGGTCTCATCAAGTTGTCTAGGCTGGACTCGAACCCCCTGGCCTCCGGCACTCCTCTTGTCTCGGTTTCCCAAAGTGCTGGGATTACAGACTGAGCCACCACACCTAGGCTCTAAGCACTATTTTAAGACAAAGACAAGTTTTCTTTTTCTTTTTTTAAGTGAGAAAGCAGGATTTATGGAGAGGACAGAGGCGCTCCCACACTGGAAGGGGACCTGAAGGGGTTGCCCCAGAAAAGTTTTCTTTTCCAAGTAATGAGATTATTAATAGAATACCGAGTAAGAGCCAGAAAAGACCATATAAGATGAAATCTATGAGCTAAAAATCTATCCTTATGTTATACAGTCTTGAGACCTGCTCTCAGAAATAATCAAGGGATATGTTCTAAAAATTCAGTTTCAAAACATACAGGTGAAACTTCTACTTCCAGCCATGCTAAAATACCTGACCCCGGACTTGCCCTCCTGGGATAAGCGACTGTAACATGAGATAATGTGTAACTGGCGACTGTTTCCATGTGTTGGTAAAGAAATGTCACATGGGTTTTCCTGGTTCTGCTCATAATCCGAGTGACTACCAGAGCATTTTTAAAGGAAAAGAGCGTAACCCAGACTCCCTACAACAAAGCACGTCCAATAAAAATTATCAGGCGTGCAAAGAAGCAGAAACACGTGACCCAGAATCAAGGTAATTGAAAAGCATCTGACAGAAACAGATGAATAAAATGCTGGAATTAGCTGAGAAAACACTATAGCACAGTATATTAATTATCTATTTCTGAATAACAAATTATTCTACAACTTCGAGGCTTAATACAACAACTTATTATCCTCAACGTCTCCACGCATCAAAAATTGAACAGCAGCTCAGCCAGACAGCTGCAGCTTGGGGTCTGTGATGATTAATTTCATGTATCAGCTTGGCTGTGCCCAGACACCTGCTCAGACCTTATTCTGAATGCTTCTGTGAGGGCATCTTTAGAGATTAACATTTAAATTGGTGGACTCTGAGCGAAGCAGACAGCCTCCCTGGTGTGGGTGGGCCTCATCCAATCAGTGGAAGGGCTGCATAAAACAGAAAGCTGTCCTCAGCTAGGAAGCGAGAATCCTGCAGCCGACAGGCTTCAGACTTCAGTGACAACATCAGCACTTCCTGGGTCTCCTGCCTGACAGCCCTTGGACATGACTCTCAGGATGAGCTCCTCCTGGCTCTCCAGCCCGTCAGCTCACTGTGACCTGTCAGCCTCGATAACGGAGATCAGACAAGACTGGGCGTGCTGAGGGTCGTATGTGGAAGCCCAGCCCAGTCTCCATAATCATGTGAGCCAATTCCCTAATATAAATATCTCTCTGGGTCTCTGTCTTTCTCTCTACACACACACACACACACACACACACCACCACCACCCCCCCCCCATTGGTTCTGTTTCTCTGTAGATTCCTGACTAATACGGGTCTCTCACGAAGCTGCAGTCGATATACAGGCCAGGCAGGCAGTCATCCAAAGACAGCTCAGCTCACTCACAGGACTGGCAGGACGTGCTGGCTGCTGGTAAAGGCTTCAGTCCCTTCCTGTAAGAGGTTCGAGCCTCTCCAGGGCTGCCTAAACGTCCTCAGGACATGGCACCTGGCCTTCCCAAAAGCAAAGGACCCGAGTGAGAAAGAGTCAGGCAGAATTCTTCTCATGATCTGGCCTCAGAAATCACTCAGCATCACTTCTGCCATATTCTATTCCTTAAAAGCAAATCATGAAATCCAATCCATATCAAGGGGAGTGGGATTAAGTCCCACCTTTTGAAGGGATGAATGTCAAAAAATTAAGGGAAAAGAGAGACAAAAATGAATGAGCCAAGGAGAAATCCCCGCAACCTAAAGAAATAAAAGCCAAATGGAAATGCTAGATTTGTAAAATATAATATCTGCAATGAACTAAGTTGCTGGGCAGGTTTAACAGCAGATTGAAGATGGCAGAAAAAGGGGTCAGTGAGCTTGAAGACAGATGAATAAAAATTATCCAACCTGGAGATAAGAAAGAAGAAAAGGGCCAGGGCCAGGCATTGTAGTTCTCACGCTTGTAATCCCAGCACTTTGGGAGGCCAAGGTGAGAGGACTGCCTGAGCCCACGGGTTCGAGACCAGCCTAGGCAACTTGGCGAGACCTCATCTCTACAATAAGATAAAAAAATTAGCCAGGTGCGGTGGTATGTGTAGTTCCAGCTCCTTGGAAGGCTGAGACAGAAGGATCGCCTGTGTCCGGTAGGTTGAGGCTTCAGTGGCTGTGAGCGTGCCACTGCACTCCAGCCTGGGCAACAGAGTGAGACTCCTACTCAAAAAAGAAAAAAAGAAAAGAAAGAAAGAAAGATCAGAAAAACAAATTTAACAGCGCCCCAGTGACCTGTGAGACAAGATCCAAACGTCCAACGTACATGCAGGGTATATAAAAGGAAAACCCCAAAGAGGCACATCACAGTCAACCCGCTGAAACTCAAATACAAAATATCTTTTTTTCCTTTTTTGAGTTGGAGTCTCCCTCTGTTGCCCAGGATGGAGTGCAGTGGCACACTCACAGCCACCGCAGCCTCGACCTGCTGGGCTCAGGTGATCCTTCTGCCTCAGCCTTCCAAGTAGCTAGAACTAAAGGTGTGCACTACCACTACCACACCCAGCTTATTTTTTGATTTATTGTAGAGAGGAGGTCTCACCAAGCTGCCCAGGCTGGTCTCCAACCCCTGAACTCAGGAAATCCTCTCGCCTTGGCCTCCCAAAGTGCTGAGATTACAGGTTTGAGCCACTGTGCCTGGCCCAGGATATCTTAAAACAACTACGAAAGACGACTCAAGAAAATGCCAACTGTTAAAAATAGCCGGACACTACCACGGGGGCCCAACATTCTATATAGGAATTTATTCAGGAGAGCAAAAACATCCGTCCGCTTAAAGACCTGAATGGCCTCAAATTAGAAACAACCCAAATACTCATCAGTAAAACGCTGGATAAACGATCTGTGTGGTAGGTCCACGCAAAGGAACGCTACTCAACAACTAGGGAGAAAACAACACGAACGAAACTCACAACCAACAGGCAGAGGGAGAGAAAACAGTCACAAAGTCACACGTACAAGATGAGGCTACGCGCACCAAGGTCAACTAACCCACCCCGACGAAAGCCGGGTCTGCGGCCGCCTGCGCGGAGGACGGCGGAAGAGGGGCACGGGCTGCAGAGACCACAGACGTCTCTTCAGAAGCAGATACGCTCTCCGTCTCGACTGAGGTGTGGTTTCTTGGCTGAATGCGAGGTCAGACGCATCACGTGTGCAGCGGACAAAGCTTCTCGGCGATAAATCGCTTCTCCGCAAGGCCGAGCTTTAAAAAAGCCGCCAGAGGAGAAAAGGCACGGCGCCCCCGGGGGCAATGACACGGGCGGCCGACCGCACGTGGCAGGCCAAGGGCAGCGCTAGCCCAGACTTCCCGGAGAGTCCCTGGAAGCGACTTCCCGGCAACACGCGGCTCGGGGCAGCCTTTGCGAGGAGCCAGGAAAGCCGGAGCAAGCCACGCCCCGCAGCGCAGCGCGGCGCAAGGCCGCTTTCCCCGCGGCCCGCAAGCCAGCCCCGCCCGTGGGCCGGAGCGGGCCAACTCAGAGCTCCTCCTAGGCCGAGGCCGAGGAGCGAAAGGCGCGTCCCACCCTCCGGCCCTCCGGGCGCCCGGGCGCCTGGCTCCCGCCTCCCCCGCCGGGCCGGCGCGGGCACCAGGAGCCCAGCGGCCGACAGAAGCCGGCACGCCGGGGAGAAACGGCCAGCGGGCAGCTGCCCAGCTGGGAGAAGGGAGAGCGGGGACGGGCGTGTGGCGTCGGGCTCTTCGGGGGCCGCCCGAGGGGCTGACTTGTGTCCCACCTGCCTCGGAGCGCCCCTGGACTCGGCGCGCCCGGGAGGGCGGGGCGGGGCGGACCGGGCGACCCCTCCCCGCAAGCCGCGCCAGAGAACCTGCAGTGCCAGAGACAGACGCCAGAGGGAGCAAGAGACTGCAAGCTCCTGGAAAGCAATCGGCAAAGCTCTCTAATTGGGGAAGGAAACCACAAGCCCAGAAAGGAGGCGTCGCCACCAAGGGTTCCAGAGGCCCGGGTAATCCCTAACCTGGGGGGATGGGTAAGGGCCCTCCCCTTACAAAGCAAGTCCTTAAAATCCGAAAGAAGTGGCAGTTCTTTCAAACGTACAAATCAACGGCAACAAAAGGCATGCGAAGACACAGAAACATCGCCCAACCAAAGGAAAAAAAATTAATCTCTAGGAACCAACCCCCAAAATACAAAGATCTATGAAATACTGGACGATGACTTCAAAATAATCACCATCAACCTTGGTGCTATACAAGAGAACACAGAAAAACAAATACATGCAATCAGGAAAATGGTGCATGACAAAAATGAGAATTTAACAGACGGAAGCTATAAAAATAATTCTGAAGATAAAAATGCAATAATTGAGCTAAAAAATTCACTAGAGGGAATCAACAGCAGACTTGATCGAGCAGAAGAATCAATGTCATTTGCAAAACAGATCATTTGACATTACCAAGTCAGAGAAATAAAATTTAAAAAAAAGAAGAAAGCCTAAGGGACTTACGAGATACCATAAGACAGACCAATAAGCACAATGTGAGGTTTCCAGAAGGAAATAAAGTGAGAAAGGGACAGAGAGCTTTTTTAAAGACCATTAAAGAAATAATGGTCACAACTTCCCAAAGGTAGGCGCACTTCAAAAATACCGTGGGTTCGGCTGCAAGTCACCACAATAAGGTGAGTTACATCCAATTTTTGGTTTCCAATCTGTGCAGGTAAAAGCTATGTTTACGCTAACTACACCACAGTCTGTCAAGTGTGCAATAGCATTACATGTAAAAAACACATACCTTTAATGTAAAAACACACGGCTAAAAAATGCTACGAGTCATCTGAGCTTCCGCCAGTCGCAGTCTTTCGGAGGGTCCTGCCTCAGTGTCGAGGCTGCTGATGGATCAGGGTGGTGGCTACTGAAGGCTGGGGTGGAAGCAGAGGTCGGCTCGTCCTTTCATTAGATATCTCTCTGTAGCATGTGATGCCTGCTCTCTGAGAGCATTTTACCCACAGTGGAACTTCTTGCAAAACTGGAATCAATCCTCGCCAAGCCCTGCCGCTGCTTTATCAACTAAATTCACAAAATAGCCTAAATCTTTTGTAATTACGTCAATGCCATTCACAACATCTTCACCGGGAACAGATTTCATCTCAAGACGGAAACAACTACTTTCTTTGGTCATCCATAAGAATTAACTTCTCATCACTTCAAGTTTTGTCATGAGGTTGTGGCAATGCAGTCCCATCTTCAGGATCCACTTCTAGTTCTAGTTCTCTTGCTCTGTCTACCACATCTGTAGTTACTTCCACCATTGAAGTCTTGGATTCCTCAAAGTCATCCATGAGGGTTGCGATCACCTTCTTCCAAACTCCTGTTAATGCTGACACTTGGACATCTTCCCATGATTCATGCGCATTCTTAATGGCCTCTATAGTGGTGAATCCTTTCCAGATGGTTCTCCCTTTACTTTGCCCAGATCCATCAAAGGAATCACTATGGCAACTACAGCCTTATAAATGTATTTCTTAAAAATAAGACTTAAAAGTCAAAATGGCTCCTTGACCCATGGGCTGCAGAATGGATATTGGGTTCACAGGCATAAAAACATCATTCATCTCCTTGAACATCTCCATCCAAGCTCTTGGGTGACCAGGTGCATAGTCAGTGAGCAGTCGTATTTCTAAAGGAATTTAGCTTGAACTTCTACATAACTTGCTGCAGTTTCCAATCAGCATTTGCTGCTTCTTGCACTTTTATAACATGGAGATGCTCCTTTTCCTTAAATGTCATGACCAACCCCTGCTAGTCTCTAGTTTCCTCTGCAGCTTCTTCACCTCTCTCAGCCTTCACAGAATGGCAAGAGTTAGGGCCTCACTCTGGATTAGGCTGTGGCTTAGGGGAATCTGTTGCTGGCTTAATCTCCTAGCTAGACCATTAAAACAGTTGTCCTTATCAGCAAGTAGGTTGTTTCGCTTTCTTACCATTCATGTGGACTGAAGTAGCACTCTGAATTTCCTTCAATAACTTTTCCTTTGCATTCCCAACTTGGCTGTTTGGCACAGGCACAGGAGGTCTAGCTTTGGGCACTTCTCAGCTTTCACCATCTTTCCTCACCGAACTTACTCACCTCCAGCTTTTGATTTCACACAAGATGTGCATCTCTTCCTTTTCAGTTGAACACTTGGAGGCCATTATAGGATTATTAGTTGGCCTAATATTAATATCACTGTGTCTTAGGGAAAGGGGAGGCCTGAGACGGGAATGGCCATTGGATGGAGCAGTCAGAACATAAACAACATTTATCAGTGGAGGATACCATGGTACACAGGCATCGTTTGTGTCACCCCAAAACAACTGCAATGCTACCATCCAAGATCACAGATCATTGTAGCAGATATAACAATAATGAGTTTGAAATACTGTGAGATTATCGCAGTGTGACAGAAACACAAAGTGTGCATACACTTGGAAAAATGGCACCACCAGACCTGCTCAGTGCAGGGATGCCTCAGACCTTCAATCTGTAAAAACACAGTATATGCGAAGTGCAATAAAGAGAAGCGTCATAAAACAAGGTATGTCTGTATGAGATAGGAAACGGACATCTGAATACAAGAAGCACAAAGGACTGCAAGTAGGATGAAGCCAAAAAAGCACACACTGAGACCCATTATAAATTGTCAAAAGATGCAGAGGGAATCCTGAAAGCAGCAAGGGAAAAAGCTGTTTGCCACCAACAAAGACACTCTCCTAAGATATCAACAGATTTCTCAGCAGAAACTTTACAAGCCAGAAGGGAGTGGCATAATATATTCAAAGTACTGAAACAAAGAGCCTGCAAACCAAAAATATTACATCAGCCCAAACTGCCCATCAAAAATAAAAAAGTAAATGAAGGAGAAATAAGTCAAAGAGACCTTTCTAACAGACAAAGGCTGAGGGAGCTCATCCCAAACAAACCTGCCTTACAAAAACTGCAAAAGGGAGTCCTTCAAGCTAAAACAAGAAGATGCTAGATGGCAACACGAAAGCAAATGAGAATGTCAAGGTCTCTGGCAAAGGTAAATATATGGACAGATACAATGCGGCCATACTGCAAGAGTGGTACATAAATTCCTTTAAAATTAGATATACAATTTAAAAGACAAAAGTATAAAAATAGCAATATATAACTTTATAAAACTATGCATACTGTAATCACTGGAGCAACTACTAAAACAAATACTGTTAGGTATAGCTAAAATCCAATAGTGTCACTAAAATGGATAATAAAAAACAGTCAGTTAACCCAAAAGAAACTAGAAAAGGAGGTACAGAGAGGCAAACAGGACAAATAACAAGATGGCAGATTTAAACACAGTTATTTGGATAATTACATGAAGTTTAAATTAAGAACTAAAGGCCCTGATTAAAAAGCAGAGATAGAGGCATAAAGAACAAGACCCACCTATATGTTGTCTACAAGAACTGCACTGTAAGTATAAAGACAGGCAGGGTGAAAAGGAAAGGAAAGAAGTAGATAACATCATGCAAACAGTAGGCAAAAGAAAAATGGTGAGGTTTTATTAATATCAGTCAAAGTCGATATCAACTCAAGGCATATTATAAGAGATAAACAGAGGCCTTTCATAATGGTAGCAGGACCAAGATGTAACAATGGCAATTATTTATGTACCTAATAACAAAACTTCAAAATGCATGAAGCAAAGCCTGAAGCAAAAATTGACAGGATTAAAAGGAGAAATAAACAAGTTCCCAGTCACAGCTAGAAATTCTTCTAAGCCACTCTCATTTGTTGATAGAAAAACTAGACTAAAAACATTAGTAATCATCTTAAAGACTGGAATACTATCATGCTCTGACTGACATTTATAGAATATTCTAACAAGCACAGAATAAACTTTCTATTCAACTGCAAACGGAACATTCATGATGACAGACTATATGCTGAGTCATAAAATAAATCTCAAAAAGTTCAAAAATTGGTATCTTTCAGAGTATGTTCCTAACTATAATGGAATGAAATTAGAAACCAACAATGATATAGGTAGAAAATTCCCAAACATTTGGCTACTAAACCAGACAGTTCTAAATAAGCCAAGGGCCAAAGAAAGGGGAAAAAATTAGAAAATATTTCTAACTTAATAGTAGAAAATCATGATACAGCAAAATCTGTGAGATGAAGCCAATGCAGTGCTTAAAGAGGAAATCACAGTTTTAAAATGTGCACATTAAAAAAAAAAGGTGGTGAGGGACCTGGCGCAGTGCTTCACACCTGTAATTCTAGCACTTTGGAAGGCTGAGGCAGGAGGATCAGTTGAAGCCAGGAGTTAGAGACCATCCTGGATAACATAACAAGACTATGTCTCTACAAAAAATAAAATAGTAGCCATGCATGATGCACCTGTATTCCCAACTACTTGGGAGGCTGAGGTGTGAGGATCTCTTGAGCCTAGGAGTTGGAGGCTACAGTAAACTATGACTGTGCCACTGCACTACAGCCTGGGCAACAGAGACCCCATCTCTAAAACAAAACAAAACAAAACAAAACAAAATTTAACAAAAAAAAAAGTTTAAAATCAATAACCTGAGTTTCTCACTTCAGAAAAAGAATTACTCAAAGTATAAAAGAAGAACAAATAAAAAGAGAAAACAATGAAATAGAAAACAAAATTAACAAAGCAAAAATCTGGCTCTTTAAAAAGATTATTAATATTGATAAACCTCTAATAAAAATGATCAATTATAACAGATATGAAATAAATTACCAATACTAGAATGAAAAATGAGCCATCACTATAGAACCTATAGACAATTAAAGGAAAATAAGGTGTGTGGATCTCTATCACAACAACTTAAAAGAAGCTGGAATTTCTCTTTCCAGAATTCTCTTCTTTGCACAGCTCTGGGCTTTGCGGATTACATGAGTTATTATGTCTGAGATTTGAAAGGCAGATCAATCTGCTCAGAAAATTGGTGCATACTGTCACTTATCTACTGGTTCACCCTGTTAGAGTGGGGCAATACTTTTGCCTGCAGCTCTTTCCAGCAACTGTTATATTTCCTTCTTCAGCTTTTTTGACTCTTGAGTTAGGTATACAAGGGGAGACACCCCCCCAATGGAATTTATTTATAAAAATGTGTATATTTATTCTTACATGTTAAAACTTCAGTTACCTTAAAGTACTCTCCATTTTTTGTAATACACCTATCAAGCTGCTTTTTCCGCTGCTCAAAACAGTTTTTGAACTCGTCGATTTTGATGCTTTTCAGTGCTTCTGTCATGGTTTGTTTTACCTCTTCCACATTAGCAAAACATTTCTCTTTGAGGACTTTGTTATTTGGAGGAGGGGGGAAAAGTCACTCGAGGCGAGATCAGGAGTAGGGAGAGTGGAACACAGGAGTCATATCGTTTTTGGTCAAAAACTGCTGAACACTCAGTGCAGTGTGGGCAGGTGCGCTCATACATCACCCATCACGAAATGGGCAAATGCGTTGAAAGAATCTCAAAAAAAAGCCACGAAATTGGTCAAGCACAGTCTCTCACAACAATGCTAGCTGGTACACTGATGCCAACAGGTTCCTGGGACCTAGTGGGGAAGCCTAAACAGCCAGGGGCCTGCCCTCCAAAAAATAATTCTGGTTTTTGGGGGTCCACCCTTGTACATTTAGCCAGCTTCTTCTGTAGGAAATTTCATTCACCAAAGTTGGGAGTCTTAGAGGAAATAAGAGCCCAATATGGACTCCAATCTATCCTCATGGGGCCCAGCTCATCTCCACAAGTTACAGTGTGCTCTTTTTTTTTTAGTTGGAGTCTCACTCTGTTGCCCAGACTGGTGCAGTGGCATGCTCCCGGCCACCGGAGCCTTGACCTACTGGGCTTGGGCGATCTTTCCACCTCAGCCTTCCAAGTAGCCGGAACTATAGGCATGCGCTACCACACCAGGCTAATTTTTGATTTATTGTAGAGACAAGGTCTTGCCAAGTTGCCTAGGTGGGTCTTGAACCCACGGGCTCAGGCAATCCACTTGCCCTGGCCTCCTAAAGTGCTGGGATGACAGGCTGAGCCACCGAACCTGGCCTACAGTGTGTTCTTACTTTTACCACTTCCCATTCGTCTTCTCTTTCTAAGTGCCTTTCCTACTGACTTCAGGTTCCAGAACCAGACATGAACCCACAGTCTCATCTCCACGTTTGTATTAGGTCAAATCCAAATAAACTTGACAATTCAGAGAATACAGACAAATTATTTGAAACCTTGCTCAATAAGAAATAAGTAACTTGACTACATAGCCCTCTATCTATTATTTTTCAAATCAATGAAACAGAATAGCATTCAGAAATAGACCCAAGATACACAGCAAAATAATTTTCAACAAAAGTGCCAAAAGTAATTCAATGGAAAAAGAAAAGCCCTTTCAACAAGTGGTGTTTAAACAAGCAGGATATACAGGTTAAAAAAAAGAAACTCAACCCCTAGCTGATGTACACACAAAATTTATACAAGAGGGATCACAGCTCTATATATATAGTTTGTAAAAAAAAAAAAAAAAAAAATTAGCCTAGCGTGGTGGCTCATATCTGTAATCCCAGCACTTTGGGAAGCAGAAACGAGATGATTGCCTGAGCCCAAGAGTTCGAGACCAGCCTGGGCAACTTGGCAAGACCTTGTCTCTACAAAAAAATAAAAATAAAAAAAATTAGCTTCGTTTGGTGGCACATGCCTGTGTTGGAAGGCAGAGGCAGAAGGATCACCTGAGCCCAGCAGGTTGAGGCTGTGGTGGCTGTGAGGGTGCCACTGCACTCCAGCCTGGGCGACAGAGTGATACTCTGACTCAAAAAAAAAAAAAAAAAAGGCAAAAAGCACTATTCATCAAACAAAAACTTGACAAGAAGACTTCAATCTAAAACTTTTGCGTATCATAGGACATCATAAAGAAAATTTAAAGACAAACTATAAACTGAAAGAAAGTATTAACAATGAAAAAGAAATTATATAAAGTATCAATAAAGCATCAAATAACCCAACCTAAAACTGGGTAAAAGACTTGAAAAGACACTACATAAAAAATATACCAAAAATGAATAAGCACACGAAAAGGTCCTCAACATGGTAAGTCATCAGAGAAATGCAAATTAAAACCATAATGGGACAGCATTTCAGACTTAAGAGAATGACTACAATTAAAATACTGACAATATAAAATGTTAGCAAGGATGTGAAAGTACTGGAATTCTCATTCATTGATGATGGAAGCATAAAATGGTACCACCAGTCTGGAAAACAGTTTGGGTATTTCTTCTAAAACGAAACATATACTTGCCCTGTGACAATACTTTTCTTACTATATTACCCAGCAGAATTGAAAACATTCATCCATAAAAATACATGTACAGGGGAATTTACAGCTTTATTCACAATAGGCAAAAACTAGAAGCAAATCAAATGACCAGCAAAAGAATGAGCAAGTTGTGGCATAATCAAGCCAAAAGTAAGTTACTGATACATGTAACCACATGGATGAATCTGAAAAGCATTACGTGATGTGTAAGTGGACAAATACAGTGAATACCTGCTGCCATGACTCCATTTAATAAAGTTTAAGAAGAGGCAAAACTAATCTATGGTGATAAAAATCAGGTAAAGTAAATGCTTAATGGAGACTTGAATTAACTGGCAGGAGCACAGAGAATCTTCCTAGGATGACAGATATCCTACATCTTGATTATGGTACTGATTAAACAGGTATATGAACTTGTCAAAACTCATCAAATTGTACACTTAAGATATGGACATTTCGACCAGGTACAGTGGCTCACACCTATAATCCCAGCACTTTGGGAGACAGAGGCAAGAGGACTGCCTGAGTCCAGGGGTTTGAGACTAGGCAGGGCAACTTGGAGAGTCCTCTTCTCTACAATAAATTTTAAAAATTAGCCAGGCATGGTGGCACATGCCTACAGCTCTAGCTACTTGGAAGGCTGAGGTGGAAGGATTGCCTGAGACCACCAGGTTGAGGCTGCAGTAGCTATGAGCGTGCCACTGAACTCCAGTCTGGGCTACCAGAGTGAGACTCCAACTCAAAAAAATAAAATAAAAAAGATATGTACATTTCACTATGCATAAATTTTATCTCTTAAGAAAAGGAAAAAAGCATTCATGGACATTTCAACATTCATTAACAGGATGAAATCATTATTTTCAAAAGCAGCATATTTTGGAAAAAGATTCCAAAAGAACTTTAATCACTTAAGTGAGGTCTAATGAAGGTTCTTCAAGTTTAAAAGTAAAAACTTCAAAGTGCTACCAAGTTTATGAACATGAGTATTGCTCTGACCATAAGACTTTCTCTGAAATGTAAAGGATTTCAACAGAGTACTGTGGCCTCTCTTCCCATCTACCACAAGTGGATTTGGAAGCTATGAACTTCTTTAAGCAGAATGGTAATGGGATAAAGATTTAGATAAACAGGAACAGGTAACAGAAAGCTCAAAATACAGAAGAACGGCGTCATACCTGTCGGAAGAGGGATATATATCCTTTTTTCTAATCTCCTTCGCAAAGCTTCATCGATGTCCCATGGGAAATTAGTAGCAGCCAGCACCATAACCATTTTGGAAGGGTCGTCATTTTCTAAAGCTCCTCCGACTCCTGTATATAGGGAGGGAGGAAAGACAAGGTTTTTCTCACAGCCCTTGACTGTTTCATTCAACTAGCATTTCTAAATGTTAGACATGCTTGGGGGTGAGATCAATGATGAAAAACCGTGCAGTCCTGACCCCTGTATAGTGGCAGAACTGGACACCTCAATAGGGAACTACAAAACAAGTAGAAGAATTCACATATCTAGTGCAGGGTTCCAAGTCAATACGAAAAGTCAGCTTTTCTGTAAGAAAATGAAGTATATGTCCCCTGGAAACAAAATGGTATGAGAGATTAGGGTCTGCTGTATTCCTCTCATTTTTTTAAAATCAAAGTTCCTCACATTTTTAAATTTTAGTTTTTAGTCTAATTTATTTAATTTTCTCAAGAAGCAAGAACAGAAGAGGGTTCCTGTTTACTTAACATACTAGCATACAACTAATTTTGAAAGACAAGTTATATTGCAATGATGTGGTTCTTCAAATTTCGAAGTGATGTGTAAAAAATAAATATGAAATTTAAGAATGAACCTAATAATCACTGATAAAAATAACAAAACTGACTATATGTATGCACTCAGTGTCTACTTTTTCAGAATTAAAATTTTAGAATAAAAAATTTCAACCTGGTGTGTTGGCTCACACCTGTAATCCCAGCACTTTGGGAGGAGAGGCAAGAGGATCGCTGGAGTCCAGGAGTTTGAGACCAGCCTGGGCAACATAGCAAGACCTCATCTTGATTTTTTAAAAATAAAAAAACTAGAAAAATAAAAATTTTTAGGTCACACAATAGAATCTCTGGAAAATATGCAGTGGGAATAAATTTAAAACCTGCAAACTGTATTGATAAGACTGTCTAGACTGGCATAATAAAGTACCAGTGGATTTAAAGCAACCCCGTTCAGTATGGTATTTTCTTAATAAAATCTTACTGAACTATTTCAATCATTATCACAAGGAATCAAGCTGTCCAACTAATAGTTAACAATGGTCACAAATATTCTTCAATGAAATTTAGCTGACTAAATCTATATTTGGTGATTTCTTTTTCCAATTTTTTTTTTGAGTTGAAGTCTCACTCTTGTCTCCCAGGCTAGTCTGCAGCGGCATGCTCACGGCCACTGCAGCCTCGACCTGCTGGGCAAAGGCAATCCTCGGTCTTCCAAACAGTTGGAACTACAGGCATGCATCACTGCTAATTTTTTAATTTATTGTAGAGACAAGGTCTCACCAAATCATCCAGGCTGATCTTGAACCCCTGGACTCAAGCAACCCTCTCACCTTGGCCTCCCAAAGTGCTGGGATTACAGGCTTGAGTCACTGTTCCCGGCTCTGTTTCCAGTTTTAACAACACAGTGTTTTTACCTATCTCTTCCCCCAAGGTATAACAGTCACTCCTTACTGTCATACTTAAGCAGAAGCTAAATGGTAAACTCATTAGGGAAGGGACTCATGGTCCATTACCTCATATATCTTACAGTGGCCAGTACCATACTTCAGTGAATCACATGTAAGTATTCAATAAGTGTCCATGTGGGTGAATAACCATGGCTGTTTTGAAACAATATGCTCCGGATATTTTTAAACATATTTCATCTTTTCTCAGGGTTTGCTTAAACAGCCTGTTTACCACACCACTGCCAGCATAAGGTGTCTCTAAAAAGCAGTTTTCTGAGCCCACAGCTTTTGTCCTTCTGTGGCTCCTCAGGCCTTCTCTTCTGTGTCTGGGAACTCCTTCCATGCTTCAAAGTCCACCCAGAGAGAGCTTCCTTCTACCACAGAATCTCTCAGGATGCACTGTCATTCTCTAATCAGTTGCCTGCTTCCCATCCACATCCGTGGTCATCACATTTTTTGGTCTCAGGACCCTTTTATACTCAAGAACTATTGAGAGCTCCAAAGAGCTTTTTCGATATTTACCAGCAAAACTTAAAATAGAAAATTTTAAACATTCATTCATTAAAAAATAACAATAAATCCATTTCTTGTTCACATGTTTTTATGAAGAGCATATTTTCCAAAGCCTAAAACTAGTAAGTCGAATCCTTCTTTCACATTTTTACAAATCTCCTTCATCCCTGACTAGATGGGGAGCAGCTGGGTTCTCTATCTGCTCCTGTCACCCATCTGTTAGAATCTCCCATGTCTCAGCCCCTGAAACGCCCCTGTACGCTTGTGAGAGGGGAGGGTGAGAAGGCCAATAATGTCTTAATTTACTATGAGTACAGTTTGGATGCTGCAGACCCCTTACAGGCTCTCAAGGCCCCTCGGGACTCAGTGATCCCTCTCGAAGCTTTGCTCTAACCAGCAAGCTCCCTGAAGGCTGTGGCTGTCCTACCTCAGAACCTGAAATGGTGCATGACTTATAACATGAGGCTTTTTGAGGGCATGAACAAACTGGTGAATGAAACAAACGATTAAAAATAAAATCAGGCCACCGTCCAGTCCCATCACCGAGAATTTCTTTATGAGTTTACACAAAAGTCAAAAAAGAAAGGCAACAGTTGGGAAACAATGATAAAACATCAATTACCATCCATCTGAATGAGAAGTTCAGCCTTGACTCGCCGACTCGCCTCGTGTTCATCAGAGGTTCCTCTTCGGCTGCAGATAGAGTCTATCTCATCAATGAAGATTGTGGTAGGAGCATAAAACCTGGCCTTGGTGAAAATATTTCAAAGGCAGCATTCAGTGATCTCACAAAACAATCTGAAGTTGCTCAAAACACCATATTTTTTCTTTTAAAACAATGGCAAAAGAGAGTAGAAATGTCTCAGTTTTAATGCCCCTGTCTGGTTATCAAAAAAAAAAAAGCTATATGGCTGTTGAAGCTGGGTGGCAGTTATATGCAGATTCATTATACTGTTCTTTGTACTCTTGTGAAACAAAAAGTTTTTAAAAAAAATAAACCAACCTTTATCTGCAAACAGGCATTCTTAAATATATTATTGCAATTCCCTTATGAAAAAGCAACAAACTTTAAGGACAAATCAGTTTTTAGCTGATTTTTAAAATACATATTAAAACACTCCTGTGTTCCTTCAGCTCACTAGAAATCCAGAAACACCAGTCAACCCACCCACGTGGCCAAAGTCTTTCCTTCCACCCTCACTGGCCAGGATGCCAAAGGCCTTCTTTTACATCAGAGAGAAAAATGCACTGAAGACACGCCAACTACCCTACAAAACCCACCGCCTCATGTCTCATTACTGTGTCAAGAACTATTAAAAGACAACCACACCATGCTTTTCAAAGGAGATTCCAGGCGAACAGACCTAGATTTATGGGGGCACCATACACCTACGGATAGTCCTTTGAAGTCCAGATATATCATCACTCACCATTTCAAACAACAGACGAACCAACTTCTCAGATTCACCTCTGTATTTAGATGTCAGTGTTGAAGAGGACACATTGAAGAACGTTGTGCCACACTCAGTGGCCACGGCTTTCGCCAGCATAGTCTTACCGGTACCTGGGGGTCCAACCATCAACACACCCTGAAATTTCAAAGGATCAGTTCAATGATTTACCAGACTAAAGTGTTTCTTATAAATTATCAACTATTAACAGACATGGCAATTTGACCATCAAGATAAATTCAACTGCCACAGTAAAATCATGGTGCATTTGGTAAGAGTAAGGTAGAAAAAGTGAAGACCAATTTCACAAAGTATTTCACATCCAAGTTAATCAGAAAAACCTAGATAACAGAGAATGTTCCCATATATTTAGAAAGAACCTATCCAATCTTCCTGAACCTGGCACAAGAGTCCTGAGCACCACTTAAGAGTGACTGCTCTGTTTAAGCATCATGAAAATAAGAAGACATTTTCTATCACACATAGTATGACTATACATTCCTTGCCCTCTTCAGGGATAAAACATACCTTCCACGATGCATTTATAATATACAGATTTTAGTCAAAAATAAAGATCCATTTATGAGTTAATAAGGTAACAAGAAAACTCAGTGGTGATTTGAGCATAATCAAATTAGCAAATTTATCAGTTTAATGTGCTAGACAGTTTACATAAAATAGTGTAAGTGATGAACTAAATAGACTCCATCAGCTCACTAGAAAGTGAGTTTTTTTCCTAAGCTTTAGTTACTTCTTAGCATTGAAAACAAACAAACATGAACAACAATCGACAACAACAAATATGTGGGGAATAAAAATTATTAAACGAAGCCAATCCTCTAGTTTCAAAACTAATCATTGTTTTCTTCCAACTCTCTTAAGAGAGTTCAGATACACAGCTATCACCAACATCCCTTCTGCATGATAGCCAGTGACTCCTTAAGAGGAATTCTGACCCAACTGTTGATTTAGTTTGATCAGCTTCTAGGGGTTTAAACTTTAAAAACTATGTGTAATCAAAGTTTCATCAGCCGGGCTCGGTGGCTCAGCCTGTAATCCCGCGCCTTGGCAGGCTGAGATGAGTGAACTGCCTGAGCCCATGGGTTCGAGACCCGCCTGGGCAACTTGGCGAGACCTCATCTCTACAATAAATCAAAACTTAGCCGGGTGTGGTAGCGCGCACCTGTAGTTCCAGCTACTTGGAAGGCTGAGGCGGAAGGATCGCCGGAGCCCAGCAGGTTGAGGATGCGGCGGCCGGGAGCGGTCACTGCACTCCAGTCTGGGCGACAGAGTGAGACTCCAACTCAGAAAAAAAAATAGTTTCATCAACTCCAAATTGAGAACCTGCCCAAGCCCTTTTCTAGCTAGAGATTTTTGTTACACAGAACCACCAGAAATCACTGGGACTTAACTTTGCATGAGATTAAGATCTTGAAAATCCGTGAAAGCAACTAGCTAATGCCACAGGCACTGCCATAGGTATGACTGCAGCGAAGTTCATACTCTTTCTGATATCCCTCTCAGCTCCTGTCATGTCATTAGTGTGGCTACCGCCAGCTAGAGTCAATTTCTAACATGAGCATCTGTGTGGATACAGCTCATGGGTATAGTTCAACACTTAAAACGTCCACCTCTCCGTGCCATTGCTCCCTCACTTGTCCCCCCCTTTGCTGCATTTCCTTGTCTCCTGGCTCTTCCCCTCAGTATAGAAACGAACTGTCCTATCAAAAATCTGTCCTATCAAAAAAAAAAAAAATCCTTCAGGGAAAGAACAATATCTTCAATAAATGGTGCTGGGAAAACTGAATAACCACACGCAGGATGAAACTAGACCCCTATCTCTCACCGAGTACAAAAATCAAAACAAAATGGATTAAAGACTTAATTTAAGGCATGAAACTAGGAAACTACCAGAAGAAAACAGGAATGCTCTAGGAGGTTGGCCTGCGCAGGACTGTTTGTGTAAGGCTCAAAAGCACAGGCGACCAAAGTTGTTTGATATGTGGGATTACGTCCAACCAAAAGCCTCGGCACAACAAAGGAAACAATCGACAAAGTAAGAGTCACCCCCAGAATGGGAGAGAGGATTGGCAAACTATCTAGTGGAAAAAGGATTAATACATAAGGAGCTCAACCAACTCAACACCAAAAAATAAAAATAAAATTTTAAAAACTGACTTAAAAGGGGGCAAAAAGGTGAAAAAACCTTTCTCAAAGGAAGACACACAAACGGCCAACAGGTGTATGAAAAATGCTCAGCATCATTAATCACCAGGAAAATACAGACCCAAACCACAATGTGATATCATCTCACCCCAGTTAAAAGGGCTTGTGTAAAAAAGATAGGAAATGATGGATGCTGGTGAAGATGGGAAGAGTGGGGAACCCCACAAGCTGCGGGTGGGACTGTCAATTAGTACAGCTATTATGGAAAACCGTATGGGCTTTCCTCAAAAAACTAAAAACAGAACTACTATATTATCCAGCAATTCTACTACTGGGCATATATCCAAAAGAAAGGAAATCAGTATCTCAGAGACATCTGTATGCTGACTGCAGCACTATTCACAATAGCCAAGATATGGAATTAAGCTAGGTGTCCATCAGTGGATGAATGAGCAAAGAAAATGTGGCATATGTACACAACGGAATATTATTCAGCCATAAAGAAAGAATGAAATCCTGTCTCTTGCAGCAACAGGGATGGAACTGGAAGCCACTATGTTAAGTGGCATAAGCCAAGAACAGAAAGACAAACACCACATGATAACACTCACATGCAGGAGCTAAAAACATGGATGTCATGAAGATAGAGAGTAGATCGGGGGTAGCCAGAAGCCAGGAAGAGTAAGGAAGAGGAGAGAACTAAAACAGAATGATTTGGCTGGGTGGGGTGGCTCAGGTCTACAATCTCAGCACTTTGGGAGGCAGAAGCAGAAGGATCACTTGAGGCCAGGAGTTCAAGACCAGCCTGAAGAACATAGCAAGACTGTCTCTACAAAAAATTTAAAAAATTAGCTGCACATGGAGGCACATGCCTATCGTCCTAGCTACTTGGGAGGCTGAGAAGGGAGGAGTCCTTGAGCCCAGGAGTTCAAGGCTGCAGTGAGTTACACTTATGCCACTGTACTCCCACTAGGGTGACAGAGTGAGACCTCATCTCTTAATTTAAAAAAAGAGAGGCTGATTAATTAATGAGTACAAATATACATTTTGACAGAAGAAATAAGACCTAATGCCTGACCTATCAATAGAGTGACTATAGTTTACAACGATCTATTGCCTATTTCAAAATAGCTACAAGAGAACAATTTGAATGTTCCTAGCATAAAGAAAAAGATATTTAAGGTGATGGATACTCCAATTATATGAATGCATTAAATTATTACATGTACCCCCAAAACACATACAATCTATTATGTATCAATAAAAAAATTTTAAAAATAAAGTTGAGACAAATAAAAGAAAAAAAATCCTTTATTGCCCCTACACATATCCTTTAGGTTCTATCTAGTTCTCCTTCCCTTCACAGCCAAGCTTCTTGGAGAAATGCTCCAGCTGCCTCGCTCCTCGTCACACACCACCACCTCACTACGGACACCTGTCTGCTCATCTAATGGTCACTCTTCCCGCAAGACACCCTTGCCTCTCTCTGACCACTGACAGTGCTGACACGCGGTGTTCGCTCCCTTCTTCCTGAAGCCCTGGCAGCTCTCCGCCTCACAGTTCTCCTGCTCTCTGGCTACTTTCAGCATCGTTCGGAGCTTTCCTTCCCTGCCCTTTATACTTCTGCAGCCATCCTAAATCTTGCTTTTTTTTCCCTTTATGAAAGTCCTGAACAAATTCATCCATCCCTATGTCATCAACTACCCCTTACAGCTCACAATTTTAATTTAAACTCAAACTATCCAAACTCCAGACCCCTGTTTTGAATGATCGGCTGAGTACTTATCTAAACACAATTCGTTTCTATTTAAACCTGCTCCTTACTCAATTTCCAATATCAGTTCACTATACTCTGTATAACAAAGAATCTGGCCAGCCTTTGTCCCCAGTCCTGGGAGGCATCTGCTAAATCCCTGGAATTTCCCGAGTGTCCTTGTTACTCATGATTTTATGCTAATGGGGTGATTCATGGTGGCCCCTACATAGCTTATGCTAACAAGATGACTCAGGACGGGGGTTGACCATGCCAGGAACACTAGCCATGTGACTAGAGAGCTGGGCTTTGAGCCACGTGACACTGACTCAACCTCTGGGGAGAGGAAGGGGACTAGAGACTGTGACCACAGACATGAGCAAATTGATCATGCTTATGTAATGGCACCCAATAAAACTCTGGACAGTGACGCTTGGGTGAGCTTCCCTACTTGGCAGCACTCTATGTGCCTTACTCCGTTGTATGTTGCTGAAAGGGGTACCTGAGGCTGGGTACTTTATGAAGAAAAGGGGCTTACTGGGCTCAAGTTCTGCAGGCTCTACAGGAAACATGGAGCCAGGTCCTGCTGAGGGCCTCACTCATGGTGGAAGGCAAAGGGGAGCCAGTGTGTGTGGAGATCACACGGCGAGAGAGGAAGCAGGAGAGTGGAGGGGCTGTTCTTTTTTAAACAACCAACTCTCACAGGAACCAAGAGCAAGAACTCACGCATGACCACAAGGACGGCAACAAGCTATTCCTGAGATCCCCCTTATAGCCCAAATTCCTCCAGTTAGGCTCCACCTCCCAACACCATCACACTGGGAATCAAATTTCAACATGAGACATGGTGGAAACAAACGTCCAAACCATATCCAAACCACAGCAGTACTGCTGCATATCCATGTGACACAATGCTCTACATATTGTCACATATCCAGGAAAGCATCCATGAAGAAAGGACAAAAAAAGCATCACATCCTTCCAGACTCTTCCAATGTGTTTCTACTTTTGGCTGGTTCTGATTTGTATCCTTTGGCTGTGATGAAACTGAAATCCTAAGTACAGCTGATTCTTGAACAACTTGGGGGTCAAGGCACCAATCCTCTGCAGTCAAAAATCTGCATGTAACTTTTGATTCCCCAAAAACGTAACTACTAACAGGCTACTGCTGACTAAAACTTACTGATAACAGAAACAGTCGATTAGCACATATTTTTGT